GAACACCCAGGCTAACACAGGACAGTTAGGGATTCATTGTTCCACCTTAATAACATGCAGTTGAATGGTGCTCACATTAAAACTTAAAAACATGTTTTTGTTAACACATGCCACATAGCAAAATGTGAAAGCAACATTTTGTAATTGAAAATAGTTTTGTTGATTTAGTTTACTGAACAAAGTAAATACTGTATGTCTATGTATTGTTATGAATCACCTGAGCCAATGTTCTATCAGGAACACATCGATGAAGCTCGTGTTTTCATCCCTTCACATGTATGTTGATCCGAAGGACATGTTAGTGTGCCTAACACTACCACTCTACCTGTTTGATTGCATCTTAGTCCCTAGTTTGTTTCCATTCACTTATTTTGTGTACACACACATGTCACTTTCAATTGACCAGGTGCTTAATATAAACTATTCCATAGGATTAGGTTTTATTTCCAACCACAAACACTTGGCACACAAACATGCAGAAGTCAGACACATTCTGAACATGCCCTTCATTTGTATACTTTCTCAGCCTTACCTGCCAAATCCTGACTGTGTGGTGCATGTTTGTACATGCATGTGTTGTCCTCTGAGCCTTTTAAAAAGCTTTACAATTCCGGCCTTAGCTTCCCTTGTGTAATACTCCAGCGATCAAAAGTGAATAAGATTATTATGTGGTTAATGAATTCCAATCTGCACTGCTAGACAATCCGACATTGTATCATGGATTTGTCTTGTAAAGACATTTCGGTTTAAAACACAGAAAATCTGGAGCAGGAGTTGACTGTTTGAGCTAAATGTTTGTTTAGTCTGCCGTTTAAATAAACCTGCATGGCATGAGCATGCAGTTGAGCCTGCACAGTGGCAGTTGTCCACTCTCGTCACGTGCACGGTTTGGTTAAAGGTTTTTAGTGTTTTTTTCACTAAGCTCTAGCATGTGCTGTACAGAGACTGCAGGATTGACCACACCTCAACCTTCTCCTCTGCACACATACACCCGCTCATTAATTACAAAGTGCTTTACATACAGCCAATATTCAACAATACAACTAGCTGTTAATGTAGATGACATTTAGATTTCACCTTGGCATTAACAACTATAGATAATAAAAACAAAACTTCTCTAAATATATAATAGCTATACTAAATAGCTTCACTATTGGTGTACCCCACCCAAGCACAGCCAATGTCCCCAAGACATGAAAAAACCAACAGATTGTTAAGAGCCACGCAACGTGGTTTGCATCGAGGTTGCTTTTCTATCCCTAAGTCAGGTGTGATGGTGTTCTTTCCTGGCCTCTCATCATCATGTGTCCTCTACCTCCCACCATCATATTCCACCATACAGGAACGCGCTACAATGCCTTCTCAGTGAAGTGTTGAGATGTAGAAACCTCTTCACTCTGTAACATTTCAGACTTTACCAACCTTGACCTACTAGTAACAGTATGAGTGGGCAGCCAGACAGTTTGAGTGAAGTTTGCCTTCCTACCATACATGAATATGTATGTCTCCGGTGTATGAATAAAGGTTGAGTAGAGCACGTCGTAGTCTGGAGTACAAGAAAAGGCAAAAGCTGATCACAGAGACCCCTATCTGAGTCTTCTTGAGTATCGTAACACCCCAGTTGACAACTTCAGATCACCAGCCCAGCTGCTTATGAGTCGTCGCTTACGATCCATACTACCCAGCACACACCAGCAGCTTCAGCCCAAGTCGGTCAGCCACGGATGCTCATGCCAGGAGAGTCTACCAGCATCTTTACCAGCATCAACATCAGAAAAGGTACTACAACAGGTCAGGTAAGCCGATGTCGTCGCTGCATGGAGGACAAAACGGGGGGTTACGTATTGTAACCCTATAAGCACAGGCGGAGCCCTCTACTGGACTCTATGGGTACTACTCTCAACTATGCTATGCGAGCATTCGCACACTGAGTTTGTATAAATGTAGCCGGCCAATCAGGGCGAGCCTACCTGAATGCGTGCGCAGGCACACAGTATATAAGGTGGCCACGTATGGAGCCAGAATTGGGTTAATATTCTAGCGCGCAAAACAAGCTACTCACGACGAGTGAAAAATGTGCTTTTACACGCGCATGAAAGGACCCTCGGGCGCAGATTAAACCCCCGCAAGCGGCTATGCGCTTGCTCGCGGGAGTGTCAGCCTCACTCGCTCACGTAGTCTGTCTGTGCGCGCGTGTAATGTGATGCAGTCAGGTGAGCCTGCTGCCTCCTCCAACAGTTAGCAGCAATCATATTTGGAGTTGTGAGTGAACTGCAGAGCAGCCTGAATCTGAGCAAAAGTAATATTTTGGGTTTTTCATCCAAAGGCCCGGACACATTCATGACGGCCAGACATGTGATTGATATCTGGCCGTCGATGAGCGTCCTGTCGCCCTACTCAGATTGGTGTGTCCCGTACCGTTGTGTCTTTTCGGACGTGCCGACACCCTCCGCCACCGATTCAACATGTTGAATCAGTATGTTGAATCGGTAGGCTGTCGGCAAAATAAATCACTCTGATTGGCTGTTCAGCTTAGCAAATCAGTGCATGAGAAGCGAAACGGAAGTGAGGGACTAGTGATGGGAATTATGGCTCTTTGAAGGGAGCCGGATCTTATGGCTCCGTTCCTTTCGAAGAGCCGTTCAAAAAGAGCCGTTTTTTTAAAGGGGGCGGGGTTACTAGGTTTATCTGCGAAATGATCACCAGGATAATGATTGACTGTATTGCCAGACCGAATGTCAATAATCTGCATTGCAAACATGACACAAGGTGGCGCCATATCCATGTCATTCATGTCAGTGAATGTACTACTTTGAATTGACCCTCTGTATGTGTTAAGTAAATAAAGTTGCCTTGCCTTGAATGAAATTCAAGCAACTCTTAATATTAGATACTGGGTGTTTCTCAATCTCGAGTAAAGCTGCTCCAGAGCCACTATTTCAAGCATACTACGTCATCGAGTGCCGCCGA